AAGCGGCGTAAGGGTACACGCAATACAGAACTACAAAACAAAACAAAACAAAACAAAACAAAACAAAACAAAAAACCATAACAGTAAGAAATTACCTGCTAGTAGATTACACACTATTTTCTTGAAAATAGTTCCTCAAATCACAGTATCAAAGAACACAAGGTGGACATTCAAACAGGGAGACTGCAAACAGCTGTGTTCAATGTTCCAAAAACATTGATAAAGTCAGCTATTTAACACCCCCAAACACACTTGCTGTTATATCCGTTAGAGCTCCTTTTCTTTTCTTTTTTTTTTTCCCTCTCTTTTTTACAACATAATTTACACATCTTGGATTTTATTACTCCTTAGTGCTTATTACTTTCTTTGGGGGGGGGGAAGAATACAGTCAAATATGGCAAAACAAAGCTGTCAGTCAATACCAAGGATAGACATAGCACATGGTGTAGAACAGAGTACAAGTTTATCAACAATGGTTATCAACGTTGTCCCTTGTTTCGTTAAAAAGAATTGTCTATCTTATTAGATATTATAAAGTTGGACAAAACAGTAGAGAACAAGACCAATAAAACTTAGGCATTGTAAACATTACAGGACTTCCAAAGAAGACAATAGTCAAACCAGAATGGGTATCTTAGTGAATCTTATTGTCTTCAAAGTAGTTGCCTATGTCTTCAAACTTGATAATATCATATAGAATGGAACAGAGTCTAATCAGTCAAAACAAGATCGTGGGAGTACTACAGGACTTCAAAACAAGTTAATAGGAAATCGAAAAGAGTTACTATTTATATATCCTAATTTTTTTGAATTTTTTCTTTAATTAAGACAAACATAAGAAATGACTAAATAATTTTTTTTTGAAACAATAAGGGGGAGATTGAGATAAAACAGGACATAACAATATAACAATAGAGGTCACAGCATGACTGTTTCAATAACCTAGTACTTCACCACCTTATAACCTGACTTAATAGTAGTTACCATAGTGTCTTTTTCCTTGAAATATTTGGGTAAAACTTCATATACTCTAGCTTCAAATATTTTCATATCAAGAAGCCCAGAATAAAGCCTTTCTAATTAATGAGTGAAAACTTTATAAGGCTTCAAGGCCACCTAATGGGGAATCATGATTACCACATATTTTTATATATTTGAATCATTACTTACATTAGGGAAACTATTCGGTATTCACACATGCGAGATTGATTTATTTCACTTATGAGTATGGTCTCAAGCTGTGCCCATTTATTGATAAATATCTCAATGTGATCCTTCTTTATAGCTGAATAATACTCCATTGTATAGAAATACCACAACTTTTTTATCCATTCCTCAGTTGATGGGCACTTGGGTTGTTTCCAAGATCTGGCGATTACAAATTGTGCTGCTATAAACATAGGTGCACATATATCACTGTGGTATGATGCTTTCAGTTCTTCTGGGAATATGCCTAGAAGTGGAATAGCTGGAATAAATGGGATTTCCAGTCCCAACTTTTTGAGAAATCTCCAGACAGATCTCCACAAGGCTGTACCAGTCTACACTCCCACCAGCAGTGCAGGAGAGTTCCTTTTTCCCCACAGCCTCTCCAGCATTTGTTGTCGGTTTTCTTGATCCTGGCCATTCTTTCAGGAGTGAGATGGTATCTCAGTGTGGTTTTAATTTGCATTTCTCTAATGACCAATGATGATGAGCATTTTTTCATGTATTTATTTGCCATTTGCATTTCTTCATCTGAGAATTGCATATTCATCTCAGATGCCCATTTTTGGATTGGATCTTTGAATTTCGGAGGTCTGAGTTTCTTTAATTCTTTGTATGTTTTAGACAAGAGGCCCTTGTCTGAGAGAGAGTTCACTAAAATCTTTTCCCAGTTTGTGGGTTTTCTTTTCACTATGCTGGAGATTTCTTTTGACATGCAGAAACTTTTTAATAAGAAGTGGTCCCAGTTATTGATTCTGGGAAGTATTTCCCGTGCGGTTTGAGTCATGTTCATGAATTCTTTACCTACTCCTATGTCTCCAAGGTTTCTACCTATTTTGTCTTCCAATAGATTTAGTGTTTCTGTTTTAATATTCAGATCTTTGACCCATTTAGATTTTAATTTAGTACATGGTGATAGACATGGGTCTAGCTTTAGTTTTTGGCAAATGGAGAGCCAGTTTTTCCAGCACCATTTATTAAAGAGACTGTCGTTCTTCCAGTGAACCTGCTTGGCTCCTTTATCAAAAATAAGGTGGTTGAGTGTGTTCGTAGTTGTGGTTGTATCTTCTAATCTATTCCACTGATCTTCAGCTCTGTTTTGATTCCAATACCATGTTGATTTTACTACTGTTGCTTTGTAGTATAACTTCAAGTCAGGGATTGTGATGCCTCCTGCTTTGTCTTTGCTGCTTAGAATTGCCTTTGCGATTCTAGGTCTCTTCTGGTTCCAGATGAAATTTAGGAGTGATTTCTCTAGATCTATAAGGTATGTTGATGGTATTTCTATTGGGATTGCATTGAATCTGTATAACAGTTTTGGGAGAATGGCCATTTTCACAATGTTTGTTCTTCCTATCCATGAGCAAGGGATGTCTTTCCATTTTCTGAGATCATCTTCAATTTCCTTTTTCAGTGTATTATAATTTTCACTGTATAAGTCTTTCACTTCTTTCGTAAGAGTAATTCCTAAATATTTCATTTTTTTGCTTGCTAATGTGAATAGTCCAGTTTCTCTTATTTCCCTCTCTGTAATTTTGTTGTTCGTGTATAGGAATGCTATTGATTTCTGAGTATTGATTTTGTATCCAGCCACATTACTGAATTTATTTATTGTATCTAAGAGTATTTCAATGGAGTTTAGGGGGTCTTCTATGTAGAGTATCATGTCATCTGCAAACAATGATAATTTAACTTCTTCTTTTCCTATCTTTACCCCTTTTATTTCTCTTTCTTGCCTAATTGCTCTGGCTAGTACTTCCAGTACTATATTAAATAGGAGTGGTGATAAAGCACATCCTTGTCTTGTACCCGATTTTAAAGTAAAGGCTTTCAATTTTTGGCCATTTAGTATGATGCTGGCTGTTGGTTTGTCATAAATGGCCTTTATTATATTGAGGTAAAGACCATTTATTCCAATTTTCTGTAAAGTTCTTATCATGAATAAGTGTTGGACCTTATCGAAGGCTTTTTCTGCATCTATAGAGATGATCATGTGATTCTTATTTTTGGCTTTATTGATATGGTGGATTACATTTATTGATTTGCGTATGTTGAACCATCCTTGCATTCCTGGGATGAATCCCACCTGGTCATGGTGTATAATCTTCTTGATGATTTGCTGGATCCTATTTGCCAATATTTTATTGAGGATTTTTGCATCTGTGTTCATTAGGGAGATCGGTCTATAGTTCTCTTTTATAGTTGGGTCTTTCTCAGGTTTTGGTACTAGAGTAATATTTGCTTCCAGGAATGACTTAGGAAGGATTGCTTCCCTTTCAATTTCATTGAATAGTTTGAGGAGTGTCGGCATTAGGTCTTCTTTATATTTCTTGTAGAATTCTGCAGTGAATCCATCTGGGCCTGGGCTCTTCTTGGTGGGCAAGGACCCAATTACATTCTCAATTTCATTAGCAGAGATTGGGTTATTCAACAGTTTTATATCCTCTTGATCTAGCTTTGGTACTTCATATGCTTCTAAGAATCTGTCTATTTCTTCTGTGTTATCAAACTTTTGAGAGTAGAGGTTTTCGAAATAGGTGTTGATGATCCTCTGTATTTCTATTGGGTCTGTAGTGATTTCTCCTTTTTCATTTCTTATTGCATGAATTTGAGCTTTTTCTTTCCTTTTTTTAATAAGGTTGGCTAGGGGCTTATCGATTTTATTTATTCTTTCAAAGAACCAACTCTTTGATTCGTTGATTCTTTGGATTGTTTTCTTAGTCTCTATTGCATTGATTTCTGCTCTGATTCTTATAATTTCCTCTCTTCTTTTGGCTTTGGGCTTGACTTGCTCTTCTTTTTCTAGCTGTTTGAGGTGTAGCATCAAGTTATTTACTTGTATTCGTTCTGTTTTCCTGATGTGGGAACTCAGTGCAATAAATTTTCCTCTCAGAACGGCTTTCATTGCATCCCACAGATTCCGGTAAGTTGTATTTGCATTTTCATTTTCTTTTAGGTATTGTTTAATTTCTTCTTTAATTTCTTCTGTGACCCACTGATTACTCAAGAGTGTGTTATTTAGTTTCCATGTGTTTGCGGAATTTTTGCAGTATCCTTTGTCATTAATTTCTAATTTCAGAGCGCTATGATCCGATAATATGCAAGGGATGATTTCAACTCTTTTGCATTTGCTTAAATATGTTCTGTGAGCTAATATATGGTCTATTTTAGAAAATGATCCATGTACTGCTAAGAAGAATGTGTATTCTGATGTTGTTGGGTGGAACATTCTGTATATGTCTATCAAACCCATTTGTTCACAGGTGTGATTCAGTTCTGTTATTTCTTTGCTCATTTTCTGTCTGGTTGATCTGTCCCTTGGTGTCAGTGGTGTATTAAGGTCTCCTGTTACAATTGTGTTACTGATAATTTGAGTTTTCATTTCTGTTAATAATTGTTTTATATAACTGGGTGCTCTGGAGTTTGGTGCGTATATATTTAAGATAGTTATCTCTTCCTCTTGGAGTTTTCCCCTTACGAGTATGTAGTGACCTTCTTTGTCCTTTATGGTCATTGTTGGTTTAAAGTTCACGTTGTCTGCAAACAGAATGGCTACTCCTGCCTTTTTTTGGATTCCTGCTGCATGAAGAATTGTTTTCCATCCTTTGACTTTCAGTCTGTGAGTATCTTTCTGGGTTAGATGGGTTTCCTGTAAACAGCATATGGTTGGATTTTGTTTCTTGATCCATTCTGCTAGTCTGTTTCTTTTGATTGGTGCATTGAGACCATTTACATTAATGGTTATTACTGTTAAATGCTGGTTAATTGTAGGAATGTTATCTCTCTGCTGTTGCATCTTTATCTTAGTTTCAGGCTCTTCTGGACAGTCCTGCAAAATCTTTTCAGCATTTGAGTGAAATGCAATAGCCATCTCCAGCCTATGCACCCTTTCTTCAGATGCTACTGTAAACTGTTTCCACACTCTGTTCAGGCGAGGAAGCGTGTCCCCAGAGGACCGAGAGGTGCAGCGCAAAGACTGGCACAACACCACCGTGGCCTGCAGCAACTGTCTCCCGTAGTCATAAGTGCTCTGTGCAACATCAACAAATTTTCGATGCTTTTCCAGGAGAACTTTCGTTTCCTGGGCATCATCGCCCAGTCTCGTGTGGGTCTTAAGGAGAGCATCCAGCAGTTCACTCAGCCATTTGACAGCCTGGGCAGCGTCTTCTTCACATTTAAATAGCTGCACCATCTGAAGCATCTTTAACCTTCGCACATCTACCATGTCTTCACATCTTTGTTTTCTAAGTTGCATATCTTCCATCACTCCTTGTATATGATCCACATTTTCTTTATTTTCAATGGTTACATCCTTTCCATAGGCCCAGGATGCCTGATTGGAGATCTGATCCAGGAGACCTTGACCTTTTTCACACAATCCTTGCAATCCTACATCAACACTTTTCAGCTTCTCTTCAAGCAGTTTTAAAGTTTGCTGAATCGATGCTCCATCAGCTGGTGCTACATCTACGCACAACATCCCTAATAAGCCATCCAACTGCTGAGACAAATCTTGGGCAACACCATGAAATTCTAGAGCTGCTTGCAAGAGATTTTGCCTAAATTCCAGCTGACTGGCCTGTCGATAGCAAACGTCACTAAGTTGCTGCTGCAGGGACTTCAGTTCCACCAGATCTTCCTCATCTCCGGCATTTAAGAGTGCTGCAATTTGCTGATTAAGCTCCACATATACTGCAAACCATTCACTGTGCTGGCTCTCGATCTCTTCGTGCTTCTGCTGCAGGGCCTGGGAAGCCCTGATGGAGTCACCAATCCCCCACTGGGCTCTCAGCTGTTCAGATCCGGGTCCTTCAAGCCAATTCACGACCTGCATCACCTTCTGTTGAATCTCTTCTAACTGTGTGCGCTTGCTACGCTGCCTACAGACTTCCTGGTAGCGAGTATACTGCTCTCGGAGTGAATCTAATAATTTCATAACCTGTGGCTGGGCAAGCAGTTCATCATCCATAGGAGACCATGAGACTCCTCCGTCGGAGCCATTAAATCGACGCTGCTGTAATTCGGATAACAATTCATGTCCTGTCTGAAGAACTGTTTCAGGATCAACTGATGGAAGAAAGTTTAAATCCACGGACCTTTCTTTCTCTTGCTGATTTCCTTTATCACTACCATTGTTAATCAAAGCAAGTTCATCTAATAATGAAGTAGATTCCTTTGTAAACTTCTCAAAAACCAGCCTCTTATTTAACCAATCCATGTGATCATAGGTGAGGCTCCCACCAAAATCTTCTGTTAACTGGCATGGCTCAATGTAACGAGTCAATTTATTGGCAGACACTAAAATAACCTCAAAGCCAAGTCTATCCTTTTCTTTCCAAAAACAAAAGTGTGTTACTTTCTTATCCCAGAACTCATCTGGCTTCACTACACAAACAAGGGACACTTCAGCTGGAACAACATTCTGTAGCATTAAGACTACTGTTTTCACCACATTCCATTGTGATTTTCTGCCATCTACAATCACAGTAAATCCTCTAGCTTTACACTTTTCGCTTGGAATGCTGAGTAGATAGTCCAAAGTGACACTCAATTCATCCATATTTGTTTGTTCAAGGCATAATGGAATTGTCAGAATGAGGCCACTTCGTCTGTCCTTTCCTCCGGACAGGAAGGCCAGCTTCTTCTTCAGAATGGGTAATATAACAGAGGCTTCCATTTCACTCCAGTTAGTGTCCTCGCTTCTGGCGGGCGCGGGCGGCCACTAATGGTCGACTTGTAACACTTAGCTGAATGGAATCACATGGTGCTGGTGTGGTTGGTCCACCTGAGTATTGTTGCCAATAGCATAAAAAAGAGAACTGGAGAGGAAGAGGTGGTGCTGTTGATTCTCCTGAAGAAACTTGTCATGCTGGCTCCCTGATATGAACTCAGCTGTTATCAGAGGAGCTCAGGACCTCGCTGTTGCTGAGGATGGCTGTGCTTCATTTTTAGGGGAGTGATGGTCCTTAGTTCAAGCATTGCTTCCTGGCTACAGTGTAGATCCTTCATCCTGCTGGTGCAGACTTTCTAGCTTCCACCACTGACCTTTGGGCCTTCCCAGCACAGATCCATGAAAAAGACCTGCATAGATACTGTCATGGGCTCTAGAGGTCTTCAATTGGACTCATGCAGGATATTACTGTGAGATCCAGGCCCTCAGATGTTTTCTTTGGGTCTCTAGTGTGTGGACAGATGCTCCTCACTCTTTTGCATTTACTCTCTGTGTGAATATTGTAAAATAATGCTATAAATTATGTGTCCTCTATTAAATTATTTCTCTTGCAAACTCTGACTACAGTAGACTAGTATACATGTACACCCTGTTTCAAATTTTTAAGTCCTATCCCCATAGGATCAACTCTGCACCCTGGAGTATAGTGCTTATGCAGAGTTCCTGTTGCCTGTCTTATAGATGCCACTCCTTTCCAGTGCTCCTTAAATCAACCTTTTCTCTCCTTACTACTTCATGGAGATTATTTCAGTGTATGAAATACATTCTAAAAGCAGTTTGATTCTTTTGTTACACTGTGCATTTCATCATAGGATGTATTTTATTTAGAATTTTTAAAAAAGTCATACTTTAAGGTTTACTCCGTGCTATAAAAAAGGAAAAAAGATTAAAAAAGGATAAAGTGGAAACAAAGCTTTGTAAATAGAGGGAAAGAGGGGTTGAAAGGAGGAGAGGGGATTGAGAAAAAAGAGGAATCAAAATGTATCATGTACCGGTACAAATTCCTTATGGTGAATATGATTATTATGTATATCTAAAATGTACCAATAAACTTAATTTTAAAAATTTTATGGCTTTTAGAAAAGCATAGGGTCCTCTGCAGAAAATCAGCCAGGGATCATGGAGGGCTTCTCACCCTGTAAGTGATGGAGCACATCATTGGCTTTCCACATTTCTGTTCCTCTTCCAAAAGCCCTCAGAAATCTGGTTTGAAAAAATTATTGGTTTGAGATATTGTTCCAGGCTTTTGTTTGGCAGAATCAGCTATATGGAATGCAAATGTTGCATAACAATGAAGTTCTTGTCTTAACTTCCTGTTTTAGAACATGTATTTCCTCTAAAATAACCCCTATTCATGGTCATTCTCCATTTCTTTAATGTTAGTTTTTTTACTTGTAGAGCCCCTTCCCTTTTGCTCGATCTCCCCTGGCTGAAGTTTGCTGTGTTCTATGTGAGCACCCTGAAATGCCCTGTAGACACCTAGGACTCCTTGCTCATCTTGCTCTAGGATAGAGATGAGTTTGTTGTTGAGGGTTTTGATTTATTCATGACCTACTTAAGTTCTTCGGGCCTCATTTTCTGGAAGGTGAGGGTCAATTTCTAGGTTCAGAGAAGTGAAGAGGCTCTGGTTGACTGATACTACTTGGACTCCTGCAGGAAGGCACGTGGAGAAGTCAGAACCCCGATAGCTACCACCAAACCCAGCTCTACCACCAAGAATCAAACTGCTATCAGCTCCACTATCAAAATCAAATCCACCTCTGACTACACTCCAAAGCCAAACCCAATTCCAACTTTGCTGCTGTATTCACCACCAGTGGCTCAGTTACTGCCTCCAATGGAGATCCTCTTAGAGCTCCCTAGTCCACAAAGGCTCCTGCTGCCAAAACCAGCTCCTTCCCATGCTGCTCCCATGCCACCAGTGATCCTGGAATGTCACATTGCTGAAGCCAGAGTGGCTGAGCTCAGGGCATTGAAATCATGACAGTTGCTACTCTGGCTCTTCTGAATGGTTTTGATAGGCCTGGTTCTAGAACTGAATAGGCTGAGAAAGTTTTGAGAGGTAAACTTGCAGCCTGGGAGGGCCAGGTGTACAAATATTGAGTTCACATCTAGATTATTAGGAAAGTTATGAAATATCAAGATTCCATTGTTAGCTTCCTTTAATCAGAGGAAATTCTACAGCCTCCAGCTTTCAGTTAATGTTAGTACAATTATTTCATTCTCAATTCATTGTATGAATGAGTTACTCATTATTCCAACAAAGGTTCTTCATGTGTATCAGAATATACCAAGTGTACTTTTGCTTTCACACTGTCTTTCTCTTCACAGAGATATTGGAGATCATAAGTAATCATTATCCATGTCTTAAGAGAGATTAGTTTTTTTCTGGAATGAATATGATTTTTAAGCAGGAGTTTTTTTTTTTATGCAACCTGTGACAGACAGAGTAGAAGAAAACGCAATAGAACTCTGTACACCTGTCACCCGACTTTAACAATTGCTATGTTACGGACCACCTTATTTCTTCCATACATCTTTCCTGTTCCTTCATCAACTATAAACTTTTTGAAAGCAAGTCTTAGAGATCATGTTATTTCTTTAATAAATAATTCTTCATTAATGTCAAAATGAGAAGACACTAGAAAATATAACCAAAGTATCATTCGCATGTCTTAAAAATTCATGCATTTATTACTACCAACAATTGCGTTTTCACTTAAAATATCCCTATTTGTGGTAAAAATTTTATATTTTGATTTTCCAGGGCAGGATCCAACTTTTCCTTTATATAAATATTTAAATAGTGTTTATCTTCTAAATGTCTTTTACATTATTAAAATTGTAGAATGTCGGTGTCACTCCCGGCCGGCAGGAAGGACACACAACAAAGTCTGGCAGTGGACAACCTTTTCTTTTATTTTCCTTCTCCGTACAGCCTGCCCCGGGAATCCTCCCGGCCGAAGCCTCTGTTGGTCCGCTCCCCGCGGCTCCTTGCGTGCTTCTCCCTACAGTCTGTCCCGAAGCCTCTACCGGTCCGCTCTCCGCGGCTCCTTGCGTGCTTCTTCTGCTTCTTTTTTGGCGGGAGAGGCACTCACTTTTATAGGGTTCAGTTGTTGCTAGGCAGACTATCTTACAGGGCGGGTTGTGAAGCAGGAGATCTTACAGGGCGGGTTGTTTACCAAGCAGGAAGCAGGAGATCTTACAGGGCGGGTTGTTTACCAAGCAGGAAGCAGGAGATAAGCGCCATCTTAGCACACTCGATGGGAGGGGTAATCTAGCTCAGGCTTTGCTCTTTCCTACAGGCCTCACGTCCGCCAAGTAAGGCGACCGGGCTTGGCCGCGGCTCCCAACATCTCCCCCTTTTTTATTTTTTATGAATGTGCGCATCGTAGCCCTTCCTGGACTGGGTGCAGAGGCTTATGCCCTATGTGTAGGCCCACCGTAGGTCCTTGGCTTAGACCCTGGTCGGCCGTCCCATGGTCTGCCAAGGCCCTGAGGCCCTCGTCCTTTTTCTAGGGCCAGGCACAAACTGGACGGAACCTGGATGCACACAAGCTTGCACTCATTTCCTCTCCGTAAAGAAATCCCCTCGGAGAGAAATTTAGACCTGGGCAGCATCTAACAGTCCAGCGGCTTACGTGCAGGATGGGGTAGGGCCTGGCTTAGGTTGAGTCGCACCGGGGGAGTACGCTCTTACCTGTCATTGACTCTCCTACCCAGCTATGTCATAATTTTTTAGAGGAGGAGTGTGGGAAGCTCACCGCCCCTAGACTCGGTCGTAGGCTAGGCGAGCGAGCCATGCATATGCCTGAGGATCTTTTTGTCCATTTTGGGCTACCGCTATTTCTATTCATCTTGTTGGTTGGTCTGTGATGGATCTCTGGTAGGGCAGGTCTGATCTTCAATCGAGGGCTTTGTTGCCCGTGTCAGTCTCTCCGGTACCCACAGTGGTTCTCGTCCCGGTTCCTGTGGGAAAACACAAACCGCGCCTCGGTTCCAGCTAACCACCGGATCCGGGCCCATCCATTGTCCTGTTAGGACATCTTTCCATTTAACCCACCCTTTATGGTTGGGGGAAGGGTTGCAGTGCTCCATAGCTGGGGAGCAATTATCATTATTTAAATTTAAAAAATTGTGTGTGAATAGTGCCATGGATAATCGTGCCTTTGGGGCCAGGCCTTGGCCTACTCCCCCTTTTTGTTTTTGTAAAATTTCTTTGAGGCTTCTATGAGCCCTCTCAATGATTCCTTGACCTTGGGGATTGTATGGGATACCATGTTTTAATTGAACCTCCATCATTTTGCAGAACTCATTGAAGGCTTTGCCTATATAGGCTGGTCCATTATCAGTTTTTAATATTTTTGGTTTGCCCCATGCGGCCCAAGCCGCCAGGCAATGATTGATCACATTAGACACTTTTTCACCTGTTTCTGCTGTTGCAAATATGACGTGAGAACAGGTGTCTGTGGAAACATGAACATATTTAAGAGTCCCAAATTCCTGTATATGTGTGATGTCCATCTGCCAAACATCACCAGGGATCAAACCTCGAGGGTTTACTCCCATCGGTATGGCAGGTTTGTATGTGGCACAGGAGTCACATAGTCGCACGATATCTCGTGCATCTGCTCTGGGAACATGGAAATGGTTTGCTAGTGTCCTGGCATTGACATGAAACTTATCATGGAAGGCACGGGCTCGCTCGATTGGTGTTAGTAAGGTAAAAATCCATAACGGGCGAGTGGCAGTGTCAGCAGCCGCATTCCCCTGTGCCATAGGCCCTGGCAGGGATGTATGTGCTCTTATGTGGGTGGTGAAGACCTTATGGTGTCTGTTCTGAAGCAATGTCTGGATAGACAGGAACAGCCCAGCCACTGTGGAAGTGGATCTAATTAAACCGGCAGTCTCAAGCACTTGCATAGTATTGACCACATACCTAGAATCGGAGACAATGTTAATGGGTCCTGAGAACCTTTCAAGA